TTAAGCGTCTGCCTTCGGCTCAGGTCATGGTCCCAGGGTCCTGGGATCGAGCCCCGCATCGGGCTCCCTGCTCAGTGGGGAGCCTGCTTCTCCCTCTGCCGGCCGCTCCCCCTGCTTGTCCGCGCGCCCGCCCTCACTCTGTCTCTGATAAACAAATAAATGAAATCTTTAATAAAAAGAGAGAAAGAAAAGAAAAGAAGAAAATGATGGCAGAAACCTCCCGGGGAACTGATCTCAGAAAGAACCAGATCGGGGAGTTAGAAACTCTGGGCTGAGTTCCCATGCCTGTCCCTCCCTGGCTGACTTTGGACTTGGGCAAGTCCGCCACCCACCTCCTTCCTCGTCAATCATCTTCATCAAGGTCTCCTGAGTGGCAGAGGCATTGTTGAAATCAGTTATCAGCGATCTCTTCATGAGTCAGACGATTAAGGAATTGACAGCCTGCCATCCCCGTCAGCACCGCACCACCCGATGCCCGTGGGACGAGCGTGTGCCTTCGCCCCTGATGTTACCTGTTGTTCACCAGCCACTGGGCCGGCGGCACAAGTGGGAGCTGGTTATTGAGGGTCATCCACGTCGCATAAAGCAACATGGAAGTCAGTTAGCAGATTTAACCTCAGAGAGCATTCCACGGGCCGACCAAATTCAGGTCCCTTGGGGAGGCGGGAGTGCCAAGCTCTCTGTCCACTCTAGCAGTTAAATGTTGAGCCTAGGAATGGAGCACCAGGTGACGGAGATGCCAAGATAAGTCACAAACCTGTCCATTACAAAATAAAATAAGAAAGAAGTACTCCCATCAGGTGGGAGGAGGCCGCCCTGTGAAACTAGTAATTATTCAGGAAACAGGGCCACAGTGGGATTTACTGGGTTCAGAATCAGGATAGAGAAAGGGAGGGCTTCATGGAAGAGGTGCTGTCTAAATTGGTTTCAGTGGATGAATAGAAGTATGCCAAGCAAAGGTGAGGAGGGTGTCACGGGGAGAAGGAAGGAGCCGGAGCACCTGGGGCACTTCAAACGACTTCAGAATGGCCAGAGCTAAAAATGGGAGAGTGGTGGTTCCGTTGCAGGTTTGAATTCTGACTCCCCCAGAACAGCGAGGCATTGTTGGGATCCTGATTGCCTCATGTGTTTTCCTGGTAGAACTCTTTCAAGGCTATCTCTTCAAGTACTGGGAGGAAAAGAAAAAACTAATTGGGTAATAAAGATGTCTCAAGGCTAGTCACCTAATTGGAACTGGAAAAAGATTAGCACTTGATTCTCAAGAGTTACTCACACGGCAGCCAAGGAGAGCACTGCCAGAGGCCAGATAGCATCTTGGACTAGTTTTTACCGGTCAGCATTTGTAACCTATAGCGGGTTGGGTAAATTTAATCTTGCACACGAGGTGGGATGCTCACCCTCTATTCCATTTCTGTTTGGCTTGAGTTCCAGGAGGACCCAGAGTTTTGCAACAGGCTGAAAGTGCCTCATCATTCAGGGGTCTCTTTCAGCTCTAAAACCTAGTTCCATGAGAGGATCCAAATGGATACCACCCTCCTGCCCGGTCACAGAATTGGGGGGGGGGGCACATACCATGCACCGTCATCATCTTTGGCGCTGCAGATCTCCAGATGGTCAACAATTCCATGAAATGGCTAATGGTTACTATCTATGTGATCTTGAGCAGGTTACTTAACCTCTGTGGGCCTGTTTTCTCATTAGTAAAATTCCTCATACATATATGTACCTCATAGGTACTAACTGAGCTCATCCCTCTACGAGCCTTCAAACAGTGCTTGCTGCATAGAGCGCAGCTGAGAAGTGTTAGCCACCATCCTATTCCTCTTCCTCCTCCTCCTTCTTTAGTATTATTATTATTATTATTATTATTATTATTATTATTATTATTTACCTGGCCATGTAATTCAAGTCTCCAGAGAATCCACAGTTTGGGAGGCCAGAAGACATACAGACAGAAAATGAATTCTGTAGGTTTCTGGGGCCCTGAACCTTTCTTCTGGGTGAGAACAGTCCTGGCTGTTTGTTCTTGCTCGTTCCTCACTTGCCGGGCCTACTCCCACTCAGTGCCTTAGCATGTGGGGCCCCGTCTGAGATAGCATTGCATCTTCAGGCAGAGAAAGGCTGCCGAACAGGGTGCTGGGAAGAGATTTGTGCCGGAGAATCCGAACTTGCTTCTCAGCTTCGTGGAAATAGTCATCGGTTGATCCAACTCTCCCTGCTCCAGAGAGCCGCAGATGAAGACCGAGAAAAAGGGGCAGAAAGCACCCCTAGTGAAGGAGTCCATGACCCAGGGTCTGCCGGGAGACCGGGGGACTGCAGATCAGTATTAGAGTCAGAAAACACGGTGGCACATGTGACGTATCCCTCGCTCGTTATGCACGATGAGATCCGGGTAAGAGCGTTAGATTCAAGTGGGCAGGGTTGTGTGTTCAAATCCCGGCCCTGCCCTTGGCTTTGCTCTTGGACCATGACAAACTACCTCTGCCTGCTCAGTTTCCTGTCTCAGTAATGGGGGAGGCAGAAGGTTCCTCCCTGCACTGACAGTCCATGCTCTGCTGTCAGACTGCCTGTCTCCCACCTGAGCACCTTGGGAAGGAAACAGGCTTGTCCTGACTTCTTCAGCAACAGAACATTTGAATATCCAGTTTAAGGGTTTGGGGGGCGGGGGGGGCCTCTGCAGCTGGCAGCAAGCACAGCCAATAGAAGTAGATGGTGTCTAGCTGTTTTTCCGAGAGGCATGTGACCTCAGGTGCTGCAGTGGGTTGTCTGGACTTCCCCAAGCAAGGGGACTAAATTGGCTTTAGGAATAATTGGGCAGGAGGGATCCCAGGAGGAGGGCCACGGGGTGCATGAGAATGTGCAGCTCCTGGCATGGGGCGGCTGTGAGATAATTGCATGGCTCAGGTGTGCTGGGAGGCAAGGGGCCAGAGGTCGAGCGCGGGAAGCAGCCAAGAGGGTAGTTATCTCCTAATTATTCTCTGCGCTGGAATGTTTTATTCCATTTAGAAAATGGTCTGATTGTTTTGATTTTTTTTTGCGCGGTAGGAAAACAGCCAGGTGGGGTCTATCCAAGCTGTGTGGGTGGTGTTCGCTAATTGCTGGGCTGGACTTTCTTTTGCCAATTAGGTGGCTTCCTTAGACCTGCCCTTTTATAACTTGATTACTATATGGGGCAACTTAATTTTGCAGAACCTCTTTCATACCAAGTGGAGCTGCTTTCAACATGTAAATTCCATCCTGGCACATCTGGGCACTCTCAACAGCCTGCACTCAGACTGAAATAAAAATCAGATGCTGACTTATGTGAAAAGGAATATAGGGCCTCCTTCTCCCCAGAGGTGGATTCTGTCAGCATCTATACCTTGTTAGAGGTCCCCTTCATATTTGCGTGTTAGCTGTGCGTGTGCAAAGTGCAGTGGCTGAGCAGACTCCCAGCTAAAAGGAGATGGTTTTGAGAGCTTATGGGTTTCCTCACACCTTATACAAAAAATAACTCACAGTGAACCATAGACCTACATGTAAAAGCTAAAACTGTAAAACTCTTAGAAGAAAATTTAAGAGTAAATATTCATGGCCTTGGATTTGGCAAAATTCTCTGAGCACACCAAAAGCACAAGCAACAAAAGAGAAAATAAATTGGACTTCATCAGAACTAAAAACATTTGTGCTGTGAAGGACATCACCAAGAAAAGGAAAAGACAACACACAGAATGGGAGAACACCTTTGCAAATCTTGTATCTGATGATGGACTTGTATCCAGAATGTGTATAAAAAACTCTTATGACTCAACAATAATAAGATAACCGAATTTTCAAATGGGCAAAGGATTTGAATAGATACCTATCTGAAGAAGACATATGGCTGGCCCATAAGCACAGGAAAAGATGCTCATCTTCATTAGTCATCAGGGAAATGGAACTCACAAAACACGGGGTACCACTTCGTACCCACTAGCATGGCTGTAATCGGAAAGATGTACCATCAGGTATTGGGGAGGATACGGAAAACTGGAACCCTCATAAACTGCTGACTGGAACATGGTGCTGTTGCTTTGGCAAATAGTCTGGAAGGTCCTCAAAAAAAGACAGAGTTACCATATGACCCAGCAATTCCAGTTGTAGGGATACACCCAAAAGAAGTGAACAGATGTTTCTATATTCCTCTTCACAGCAGCACTATTCACAACAACCAAAAGGTAGCAGCACCCCAAGTGTCTCTCAGCTGATGATTGGGTGAAGGGAATGTGGTATATTCCTACAATGGCTATTAGTTGGCCATAAAAAGGAATTGAAATATTGATACAGGCTACAACATGGATTACCCTTGAAAGCACCATGCTGAGTGGAAAGAAGCCAGTCGCAAAGGATAACATATTGTATAACTCGATTCATATTAAATGGCCGGAATAGGCAAATCTGTAGAGACAGAAGGCAGATGTATGGTTGCCTAGGCTTGGGGGGCAGGGCCTGGGGCAAAATATGGGTGGCTGTTAATGGGTGTGGGGTTCATTTTTGGGGGTGATGGAAATGTTCTAAAATTGGATTCTGGTGATAGTTGTACAATTCTGACTCCTCAAAATCACTATATCGTCACTATGAATGGGTGGAGTGTATGGTATGTGAATTATATCTCAATAAAGCTGTTTGAAAAAAGAACTTTTGGCTTATTGAGTTACTGCCTGCATTACTACAGTTCAGCACCCGGAGGTCCTGTTCTCTTGAAGGAAAGAGATGTAACCGATAAGTATTTAGTGATTGAGTAGAGTCAGTTGAAAGTTACTTGTCTGGAGCATGAAGCAAGGGGTAGCTGCAAGATTTACCTTCAAGGAACTTCTGTTCAACTATGGAAGATAAGATTAAGCGGGTTATGTAAGTAGCAAAAGCACATTTCACTCCTAATTATCTGTGCTAATCCAGGTCCTCCTGAAGCCCTTCTCACCAGCTGCCCAGAAAAGCCACAAGGGCAGCAAGTCAGAGTTCAGAGCCAGTGGAAGAAGGCACTGTCTGTGATACTCTAAAGTAACCTATACATATTTTTAAAGTTCTCCCTTTGTAAGTCACAGTATTCTTGTGGACGTCACACGTTGGGATAATAAATGTTCAAGTCCTTTGAGATCAGCAAGGGCTCTTTGGGACACTGTTACTTTGCTTGCTTTGTACCTTTCTTCACCTCCAGGGAAAGGCTCGTTGTTCAATACCACTTGGTGAATGCCTGCTACGTACAGGGGCTGAGTGGGAGGGGCAGGCAAGTACACATGCAGGGACAGTGGTTTGTGACAAGTGCTCTAATGGAGGAAATGTAAGAGCTCATCGTGCACACGGTCGAGGGCCTCTGACGTGGACCTGGGAGGTCAGGGAAGCTCCCCGGAGGAGCACTCTCTAAGTGGAATGCACCAGGTGAGGAAGGTGGGAGGCCTGTTCTGCACAGCAGAAAGAGTTCTTGCTCTCTTGTATACATTATATCTGTTGGTCACCCTCTAAGAAGCAGCTGCTAAGGAGCAGAATTAGAACTTAACTTAGTGATTCAACTTTCAAAGCTAGCTGGAACTTTCTATTCTCTACTCGGTCTTTGAACCATTCAGTTGTATGTTCCTTATAATATTTTTTCTGATTACAGAAATACTTACACATGATCATTGTACCAAAAAATTAGAGAATACAAAAAAGAAAAAAAAAAAATTTAAAAATTCTCCATGATCTTGACACTGCGAATAGGTTGTCTGTCCTCCAGATTGGGTTATGCTGGTTTATAACCTGCTTTCCACAAAAGTACATTAATATTTCCCATATTATTAAACATTCTCCTACATGATGACTGTAATGGTTATCAAGTATTCTCTCTTTGGGATATACTATAATTATCTACCCAATCATATAGCAAAAGTTTATTTTCCCCCCAATTTTCACTGTTATAACCAATTTTTTGATGAACATTTTTGCAAATCAATCTTTATCTCAGTCTTTGATGATTTACTTAGGCTAAATTATTAGAAGTGGAATTTCTGTGTCAGAGTATGCACATATTAAAACTTTTGATTCGAATTCTCAGATTGCCTCTTGAGAAGGTTGTATCAGTCACCCTTCCACACGATTTATTTTCCTGCTTGCTACAAATACTGTCTTTTAAACTTGTCAACTTGATAGATAATGCATTAATATTTTAATTTTTATTTCTTCCCATACTGTTGAAGTTGGATTTTTTTAATGTGTTTGTGATCATTTTATTTGAAGCTGAAATATGTGATACTTGCTGAAAGTGCATTGAACATTTAAAGAATGAAGATGTCTTGGGGCACCTGGGTGGCTCAGTCAGTTAAGTGTCTGACTTTTGCTTAGGTCATGATCTTGGGGTCCTGGGATCGAGCCCCGAGTCGTTGGGCTCCGTGCTCTGCGGGGAGTCTGCTTCTCCCTCTCCCTTTGGCCCTCCGCCATTTGTGCTCGTGCACGCATGTATGTGCTCACTCTCTCTCTCTCTTTCAAATAAGTAAATAAAATTTTTTGAAAAATGTCACCTTAAAATAATAATAATAGTAATAATAATAAAGAATGAAGATGTCTTTATACTCTAGAGGTGATGGGTTGAAAATACCTTTTGGCAGACTATCACTGCTGGGAAGGAACGGTACAGACACTGTTGAGTGGGAAAGTGGAGGGAGGAAGTTATTTATTAGACTTAATGACTTTTTTCTCCCACATAGGTTCTTAAAGGTGGACAGGAAGCACCTACAAAACCCAAAGGTCGTCCCAAGAAGAACTCCATCCCCACATCAGAAGAGATCGAAGCTGAAGAGAAGATGAACAGCCAGGCCCAGAGCCAGGAGCGCCTTGCACCCTCCCAGAGACAGGAGGAGCTCTGTGACCCACAGGAACCAAAAGCATGCGATGTCCCCTTAGAGGTGGCAGAGCCCCCCGGCCGGCCCCAGGAGTTGCCAGTAGCCTCTTCGGAACCCCCACCATCAAGCTAAAATAAAAACTCTTTGGGGGGAAGGGGGAGACGGGGAGGAATGGAAAGAGGGAAGTCAGGGAGAATAGGGAGAGATCCGCTTCCCAAACCCTGGTAAACTTGGGGAGAAGAGATCCACGTCTCCCAACCCCCATGGGTCTCAGTGGTTTTCATCATAAGCATTTGACGAAGACTTGCTTGCCTTAGGCCTTTCTCTTCCTGAAAGGCTGCTTTAGCCACGGGATGCCCTTGATGAAGGGAGACAGTGCCTTGGAACTGCCTGCCCCTGCTGGGGTGAGGGCTGTGGGGCCCGCACCCCCCTGGTGCTGGTGAAGGACTGGCCCGGGCTCTCTCCCTCCAGCCCCTGGGCAGCCAGTCATCAAAGCAGAGAGATCATGGAGGAGCCTGGGCAGCAGGCCTGGCTTCCTTGCTGACTCAGCACTTATTTCTGTAGTTTTAAAAGAGAATTTAATGTTTTTGGTTGTTGTTTTTGGGGGGGGCGGGGTAGGGTGGGGCCGGTGAGGGTGGGCCAAGAAGAGTTGGGGGAAGTGAGTTCTGAGTTATTAGAATTGTTTCTGAATAAAGTTCCTTTGAAGACACGTGTGCCTTTGTACCCATTATAAGATGGTTAGGTGACCCAAGAACTGAGAAGCCTTGGTTTTCTTGCTTTATTGAGTTGCCATCCCTGAAACTGCAAAGCAGATTATGTTAAGATAACTTTTATTTTTTAATTAAAGATAAATCTTTCAAAAGGATTGGGTGTTTTGTGTCTTCTGGGGAGTATATTTAGCCCTGTCTGTATACGTCTTATGGAAAGACCCAGAGAGATAGCCCGGCTCCCCGGGCTTTCATTTCCCCCGCTATAAAATAAAAGATTGGTCTCTGCCCACCACCCCTCCCACCACCTTCTGCCAGAGCAGCTCTGTCGTCAGCCACTTTCCATTGTGGGCTTCCAGCTTTAAAAACGGCTTTACTTTTTTGTAAGAGATAATAAATATATGTGCTTCAAAAGTCAAACAAAAGAAGTCTTGCTTCTCCCACCTACTCCCTCCCCTCTCCTCTCCCCTAGCCTGCACAGGTAACCAACCATTTTTTACGGGTTTCTTGTTTAGCAAGTATCCATTTGGATGATGGGCTCTGCACCTTTTAACAAAAGATTTGAGAGCTTCTTGGCTAGAGGTGCTCTGCGATTTTAAATTTAAAACCATGTCCCACTTTCAGGAAGAACAGGAAAGAGGGAGGCTCCAGACTCGCTCAAGTAGGAACTCTCACCCTTTCTTGTCTGGTTGTCGTGCCCATGGACCCCGAGGCCTGAACCCACAGAGGTCCTCTTTCTCGGCATTGATGTCCTGCCGACTGGCAGTTATTGATCACGGGGTAACTCTGCCCTGTTGTGGGTTCTGGAAACATCTACCCGCTTTCGTAATGGCCGCAACTAGGGAGCAAAACCTGTTGCTAGTTCTGTAAACAAGTCATGTAATTCTTTGGAAACTTACACACGAAATGATCTGCTTGTTTTCAACCATCGGCCGCCTGCTTCCCTCCATTAACACTGCCAATCACAGTGACTGCGATTTCGACTTGGCTAGGCAGCGCCTTCATTCCCTCTGCTCTTGAGATCAGCACAAAGAAAGCTGTCTTTTTCTTACCTCTTGCGAACAAAGGAGCTAAGGATTGGGCCTCCAAGAACCAGTTTGTGCAGACCACACCCAGCTGTGTGCGAGGTTTCTGGTGCTGTGCAGGCGAAGAGCTGCCTCCTGCATCTCTAGCCCACCCCCTGGGGACAGTTTTATGGTCTGCCTACTAAGCAGTGCCATAATGAGCCCAAGTGTACCCCTGGCCACAGTAAGCAGGTGGGTCTGTGCCAGTCTGGGCTCACTCCTAAGGAACTCCTCTGTCCTGTTCAGCCCCGCCCCAGAGAGACTTTTCACTGATGCTGGCTTCCTGTGGGGGTTTTCAGTCTCTTGTCATGGGCTCTCGTACCGTCCCCCTCTGAGGTGTCTGACGGTGGCTGTGTCACACACACGTAGTTTTCCTGAGCTAGGGTTCTGGGCTCTGTTTCTGACTTGCGGCCCTTAGCCGTTGGCCTGTCATCTATAGTGCTTCCAGGGATTGGAGGTATTTCAGTGCCTGGTCTCAGACCTCCCCTGATCTTTCCCGCTGTTTTGGAAGCCCTGAGCCCAAGGGCACCTCCACTTGGGAGCCCTGGGCTTGTCCTCTGGCCTCAGCTCTGTGTAGCCTTGCTCTGGCACCCCAGGAGGGGTGAGGGCTGGGCCTCGGGAATGTGAGTGGGCATCGATTCCGCACCTAGCCCTGCTCGCCCTCCACCTTTCCCTTTACCCTCCAGTCTTTCCATCTTCCCTCTACTTCCCACGACATGTGATGGCACCCAGAAACCCAACTCCACAGGGTGTCTCTGAGTTGTGCATAGGAGGTCACGTTGTGCAGTCTGGAGCAGGGCTATTCAGGGACCTCTGACCCCAAGGTTTCCCTGCCCCAAGCCCAGTCTGCTCACTTTCTCTGCTGCTTTCTAGGAGGCCTCTCTCTGGACCTGAGCTCAACTCTGTGGGCCTTACTAAACAAAAGCATTCTTGCCCTTGCTTGGCATCCAGGATGGTGACCCCGTGAGGGTTCAGGGTCTTATTGTAGGGTCTGGTCATTTGATGCTTTCTGAAGTTTTCCAGAGGAAGGGAGCGAGCCGAAGCCAACTGCCCACACAGGGAAGCCGACCACTGAGACCTTGCAAACCACCCCCGCCGCCTTTTTTTTGTAGCGTCTCTGCTCTGAGCATTGGAGAATGCTTTTATGAGCACTTTTAGCTGATGCCTCCCCCTCGGGCTGTGAAATGGGCTGTTTCTTCCAATTTTATAGGAAGCCTGTTAACCAGAGAGAAGTTGGCTCTCCCTGGGTCAGGTAGCTGGTCAGGAGCCATGCTGAGAACCAAGCCCGGGCCAGGTTCCCTGCGGGGACCTTCAAGGTGAGCACTAGCACACTGTCCCTCCCAAGGCGGCAGGGGGGTGAGGGGGTTGGGGGGCTTTGAGCAGCGGTCTGCTGCACGTGTCAGCTTTGTCATAGGCGGGGATTGGGGGGGGCTTTCCTGGCTACTGAAGGTGAGGCTACCAGGAACCACTGCCTCTGCTCCCCCCCTTTGTATCCTTTATCTAGCTATCATTATCTATCTATCTATTTATCTATCTATCTATCTATCTATCTATCATCTTTTAAGATTTTATTTATTTATTTTAAGATTTTATTTATTTATTTGACAGAGAGAGAGAGCACAAGCAGGGGGAGCAGCAGAGAGAGAGGGAGAAGCAGGCCTCCCGCGGAGCAGAGAGCCCAATGCGGGGCTTGATCCCAGGACCCCAGGATCATGACCTGAGCTGAAGGCAGACACCTAACCGACTGAGCCACCCACGTGCCTCCCCCACCCCCCCGCATCTTTTATGTTAGAGAGCAAGGATTCCTGGAGCAGGTTCTAGGCTCTCAGTAAGCATCGAAGTGTGTGTGTGCCTAACAATGGGTTTGTGTTCTGGGTCACCGTACCCTCTGACTTGCTTGTCCAGAGTCTGCAAGGGTTGATTGAGAAACAACACTCAGCCCTAGCTTGACTCAAACAATAACCAAATGGGTCTCCTGCTGGGAGCCTGTAGTCCTCAAACTAGTCTGAACAGATCCATCAGACACCAACCCTCACTAGGCTGGTTTTCAGTTTCTCTCAGAGACGAGTCAGTTCTAAAGCTGCCTTAGAGAAGGGGTCTGGGGAACTCTGTGAGCCCCTCTTCCCTTCCCCAGGCGCTTAGAGTTCCCTGTCCTCCTCACGACCTTTCAACTTCACGCCACCCGCCCTACGCCCTGGGCTGGGCTGGGCTAGCACTCCACTGCAGGGGATCAAGCGCTTTCCTCAATAGGTTGTGCTTCATCAGCCTGGTCACGTGTTGTCCACTCAGCAGAAAAGGAGCAGGGACTTCGAAGGACCAGATTAAAGCTTGTCCCAAGGGGTTCTCCCCCATCTCCCCCCTGCCTGGGCCAGCTGCTAGGTCACTGCCTGATCCTCCGGCCATTTTCCATAGGTGCCGCCTAAATCTTGCTCCCTATCATGTCGGAAGGATCTTTGAAGGGCAGGAACTATTGGGTTAGAGGGTTGAAATGTGCTTTGCGAAAAAAAAAAAAAAAAGCAAACTTGTTTCTCAGGATTTCTGTGCACTGAGTTGCTTATGTTTGCCTAAGCCCTGAGGAGCTGCCGTGGCTCTTTGTCTGAATAGGCACCCCTCGCCGCCATCACCACTCTTCTCCGTTGGGTTGCCTTGTATTGCATCTTCCACGAGAGACGCCACCTTCCTCTCTTTCAGTGGCACTCCAAGGGGCTGCACCCCAGCCTGCTCCATGCCCAGGAGACAGCATCCTCTCTCCGACCTGCCTCGGCTCCCCTCTCCTTTACCCTTCTCAGCCACCTCTTCCTGTTCCTTATTAACCTCACCTCCTCTCCAGTCTAACCTGTTCATTCCTCTCCACCTCTCCCTCTTAATGCACCTTTTGTCGTTAACACCATGGGCCTGCCATCTTTCCAAAGAGGACATGGATTAGTTTTGTTTCCCTATTAAGAGCCTAAATTCCTTAAGGCTGTTTTTCAGTTTATGTGTTCTGAGTTCCTTTTTCTGTGCTCAGGGCTCCAAAGGTCCACAAGTAGGCAATGAGAGGATCCGGATGCTCCTGGTCTCCTGTTGACGTCTTTCTTGGAGGCCCAGATGTTTTGAGTTCTCAGCAGTATGGTGGGTACAGCCCACAGTCATGAAGCCTTGAGGCTCCAAATCATGAAGCAACTCTCCTGGTCATTGGCCGTTGTTAGAGCCACACTCAGTGGCTACAGGGCTTAGGGCTGCCAGTACTTTTCAGAATCAAGAGGGAAGGCGGAGCAAAAGTTCTTTGTTGTCCGTGGAAACATTCCCATCACCCACGGGAAGCAATGCTGGGCCCGTTTCCCCAGAGCCAAAGAAGGCAAAGGATGACGAGGAACCCAGATTTGAAGACCCTCATGGCTAAGGATCAATCCCCACATCCCACCCCATCCATTTTGCTAATTCCTTTTGGAAAAAGTACTGACAGGGCTCTGAAGAAGATGCTCTCGGAAGATTTCTCCACAAGGAGATCACAGGCAGGGTTGCAGGGGGCAGGCTGGGAGGAAGATGCCTACTAAGACATTTGTCTCAAACAAAAATTAACATCCTGTCTATACCAAAATCATATTTGGTAGGGGGAGGTGGGGTTGGTGAAGTTGTTTGACCTGATTCACGAGGTGATATGAAGTAGCTGAAGGAAGGTGAATTCATCCTCAAGTACGGCTGGGAGGGCCGTGGCCCGAAGGTCGCCGTGTACCTCGGGGCTCAGCACTGAGGACTGCAACCAAGTCTAAAACCCTGGGATGGGCAGTAGCCAGGAACATCCTTCCCACCCACAGCGGGGGAAACTGGGAGAGAGGACCCCCAGCCGGCCGGGTGGCAGGCCCGTGTGGTCGTCCTGCGCCCTCAGGAAGCCGAGTGCTCCGGACTTCTACCACCAGAAGCAGTGGTAGCCACAGTTCAAACCCACAGGTGCTTCCTGAGCACCTGTCTTGTGCCTAGCACTGGGCTAGGGTGGGGGTGGTGGAGGCTGGGGGGAAGGAGAGGTGAAAGTAATACGGCCCCGCCTCAAATAAGCTAACATCTTGTCAGAGAAACTCCTACTTTAG